TCAAAAGCTGCAACATCACTTTTTCTGAGCTATTAGGGGGTTATTAGGCTGTTCACCTAATTCACCTCATGCAGATGATCAGTTTGTACAGTATGGAAAGCCATGTCTTCATGGATTTGCTATTGTACCAGTTAACAGGATCTAGCAGTAGCTTACCACCTTCAGTGTGTGTTTGAATGTGTAAATGACTGAATTTAGTGTACTGCTCTTTAGAATCCCCTAAATTAAATAGGAGGTTTCTATAAGTACAAGCCATTTATATTCAATTTAGCCCAGTTAAAATGAATGAATTCATTTTCATAGTCAATCACCGAATATTCTGAACTAAGTATACAGATAAAACAAAATCTAATTCTCAGAATAAAGAATTAAATCTCATTTAGTTTCTTCTTTTGTCATAAAGACATGCAAAGACATGGTGTCATTTACAAATGACCAATGTCAGTAGTTCATCCGAGTATTTGCAGCTTCTGCTATCTTATTATGCTCTGATTTAAATTTATAGTTTGTATTTTTTCCATTTTGTAAACTTTACTTTCTTGAGACTAAACTCTTCAGACAGCTGCTATTTTTCACATATGCCTTGTTCAGAAAAAAAATCAAAGAAAAAATTGAATTGCAACTCCTTTTTAAGGCACCACATGTTTGGTGTTAATTGAGATTTTTTTTTAAATGTAATGATATTAGGAAATGCAAGCTGTAACACACAAAGCTGTAAACTTGTCTATATGCTACAGTTGCAACTAAATTTACATCCATAAATACAATTTAATCAAATAATTTGTTATTACTATGATTGAGTCTTTAGTTTGCTGGTGAAGATTCTCAGTCATCCAAGTAATAATCATTCCAAAAAAAGATCAAAAACAATCCACTTGAGTTTGTTTCCAAGTTTCAAGATGTTTGGCTTCCCATTCAGGAAGCTTTTTCAAATAGAAATGTCAGAATGACCATTGAGTTTGAAGCTTTAAAGAGTAGCCCAAAAACTTGTTTCGGCTTAGAAAACATGCAAATGTAACCAGAAGAACAGGTCCGCCCATTAGGAATGGGAAGTCGTTTAGGTTTTTTTTTTTGCCGGCAATAGCCCATACTGGTCTATGAATTGGAAAGGGGGGTTGATAGGGGAAATTGTAGGTCCTGCTGACCAGACGAGATGTTTTTGTGCCCTGCTGGGGGTGAGGATTGAGATGATAGCGGGAAGGAATCAACTATTGCTGCGTTGTAGTGTTTTGAGAGCTGAAACCTGAGTCCATTCGCTCTGTTTAAGGTTGTTTTTTCTTTCTGAACATAAATGGTTTCCTTCACACCTCCTCCAAACCACCTGTCTTCTTTGTCCAAAATTGAACGTTTTGGTCCTCAAAAGAATGTCCTTTGTCCATAAGAAAAAGTATATTTGAGAACAAAAGAAATAAAAATAAGGGGCGATGCAAACTTCAGCTTTACAGTAGGTCTTAACAAAGACAAGGCACAATTATATGTATAATACAATGAAGTAGCAAGATAATTCAGTTTTTTACTTGATGAAAACAAACGCGGTACATTGACATAATAGAGAAAAGTAAAGAAAATTTGTGCAACAGACTGAAATTCATAACATTTCAATTAATAGTTTTAACAGAGCAGTCAAAGAGAAGTATAAAAAATTGCTTTTGACCTTGATTTAAGAGAACTTGGGAATTCAGTGTCATTTCGTATCAACAGTAGCAGGTCCACATTTTAGGTAAACATGTGAAGAAACTGTTGGAGAAATCAATTCCAAACTAAAGATAACATATGGAGGAGTTTATATTCTGCCAGGAAATTACTCCTCTAATCCTGGAGATGTTCTCCAGATGAAGGAAACACATTTCAACTCTCTTTGTGCATTTAGGTGTAAGTTTATTAAAAGAAAAAAATTATTTTCATGGGCTTATCACTGGTTTCTAGCAACAGGACAAGAGGGAATAGGATGACTGTTGATTGCTCTTCCTTTGGTCCAAAAATAGTTATTTTGGGATTGTTTGTTTTTAGCTCAAGTAAATTATAGCACATGAGCCTGGTATCAACGTTTTTTGTCATCTCAGATGTAAAGTTGTCTACTGACACAGATAAGTCCCTCTCTTTACGGTAAAACTCCAGCTAGTTAAGTTGGATAAAGAAAGCCTGACCCAGTTCTCCACTTGCTCCCACAGTGTCCTGTGGTTAATGATGTTCTATGATGAGGTTGCAAAAATTATGTGCTCACTTATTCTTCCAAAGTCTGCATTTAAGCACAGGGCACTGATCAACTAGGGAGGATAGTAGGCACACAAAACTGATAGGAACACTATAAAGCAGCTGATCATTGACAGCATTAAACTTTTGAACAAAACAGATTAATTAAGACAGACAGATTGTGGATCTGTAACAGTGGACAGAACTGTTTTCATTGGAAAATGTTATTGTTGTTTTACGCATACAATTCCAGAAGTTATCCTGCTAAAATATTGTTTTGGTGATTTATATTCAAAGATAGAGCCTATTCTGATGGGGAGTTACACTAACCTACATTTCATCATATACAAAACAGCACATTTTTGTTTTAAGTTCTAAAAAGTGAGCTAGACTCGTATAAAAGTTCATTTGAATGTATCATATTGTGTGCAGTACTCTTTCCAGGTTCAGATGAAGAACAGAAACGAGCCCCGTGGGATGTTGTAGGCTCTGAATATTGTTTTTTTTTTAACCTAATCCCGCTTTAAAGTTAGTCAGATTGTTCTCCCTGACTTGTCTGTTGTTTTCTGTTTTTTGTCTAAATGGTATTTGTTCTCTTATGAGGTTTGTTTCAACCAAAGTCCTCGAAGCAATTTTAGCTGTGTTTTAAATGAACCATCAAATTGCCTATATTGTAATAGGGACAATAAAATATCTTAATGG